AAATTACCCACACCCCCCCGCCCTCCCCCCCTGGGTGCCCCGTTTTCCCCCCCCCTCTTATATTTTTTATATTATAATACTACGCTATCGGAGTATATTATATTATATATATATTATATTATATATATATTATATATATATTATTATTATATATATAGAGAGAGAGAGAGAGAGAGAGAGAGAGAGAGAGAGAGAGAGAGACCTTTTTTTTAGTTTGTTTTTGTATAGTTTCTCGATTCAGCATTAATAACTTTGATCTATAATATAATTTCTGCCACATGGAGCATAAACGTATTTTGCAAGGTAGTCTTATAATTTATGAACAGAGATGCTGGCTAAATTGTCAACGAGAGAAACCACATGTTAAACTAGACACTGATGTTGATATCTACACGAAGGTAAATTAAAATTTACTATTTCTGCATTTTTTATGCTTAGTGTTCATATTTCCATAGTCATTTCTCAAATAACCATTATTCTTAATTTTGTTTTTAATGTTTTTAGTTTGATAAATTAACCTTCTGCATAAAACTGTATTTTGGAATTTATGTCCATGAAAAGTTTCAGCCACCGTTTTGCTATAATTACATTCAATACTTTTCATTCTTAGTTTCTTTTTTATTTTTTTATTTTTTTTTTATTTCTTAAGAGCTCAGCGTTCCTGATCTATTTGGTATCACTGTGTGTTGTATTCATTTCAACTGTCTGGTGATTGAACATACAAAAGTAGTAGGAAAAAACAAGTTTGTTCGGGTATGAATTTCTACACTTACGCGTATTTGTAGGGTTCTTATTTTCGATGCTTACTTCACATATGATAAGAAATGTGTGTTCGCAAATGTGTGCATTGGGATCGGTTCGTGCGTGTAGTGCAATTTATGTGTATGATGTAGTTTGTTTGTGTTTGTGTTTGTGTTTGTGTTTGTGTTTGTATTTTAGAGATAAACTGCACAATACATTTAATTAGATTTTTGTTATGTTTTTCTAGGACTTAGTAATTCTGAACTTTAGATTTTAGAATTTCTTTTACCAGATTTTAGAATTTGTGTTTTACTACATTTTATAATTAATGGTATGTTTTTTAAGATTTTTGGTCCATTTAGGTAATTATGTTTAGTCAGCCACATTTCATTTTCGTAGTAGGATTGCTAAGTTGGCATCAATATGTTGTCTCCTAGGTTCTTTAATTGATAGTGAAATGTGTTTGCGAATTTTGTAGCAATGTTTTGGTTATGACTAACATGTTATGGTTTGTTATACTTAAGTATTTTGGATTATTCTGCAATTTAAGTGTTTTAGTGACATATGGACGAGCTTCTGTAGGATATTTTGGGTACCATCAAACTACATCTTCCATGCTTATGTCTGATGTGTAAATTTTTTTATCACTTTTTCAGTATCATAGGATCGGATGAAGAATTATGTCTCAAGGCATCGTTTAGGCTTCCAGGCTCTAGATTGAAGCTACATGGGAACAACAAAGACATGCAAGTGAAGCGAAAGTGAAACGAATGAAGGGAAAACAGCCCAGTGGCTTAAGTCTGACCAATATCAGATAGTTCAATCATGCACTCATTACTTTTCGAATAGTTTATATGTCCAAACATCGATTTTCGCGGAAATTGATTTTTTGTACATTGTAGCCGAACACTCTCTTACATAAGTCCGATGACGTTAAACAGTTATATGTTGTGATAACAACGGAATATGATACTCTAAAAGTCGTTAATAAACATGGTATAAAGTGATTAAAGAGCCTATTAAATTTTCTATTCCTTTTTTGAAAAACATGATTGTATGGACTTGAATATATACAAATTTACCTCATTTGTTTTGAATCATCCATTAAAAATATGTATTTATCGTCAATTAGAAATATGTATTCACCGTGCCTCGCACGGGTGTATTACTAATTATTATTAAACTTTTATTATGTTATTAGGATATATATACATGATGGAGATGTAATTATGTTTAATTATCTTTTTATATATGTTTTGAGTATT